GAGGAATTAATGAACGTAGAAAAATGCCTAAAAGACAATTTTTATCCACAAAAATTTATTGACAAATATAAAAGGCCCAAGGAAAAGAAGACGGAAATAACTATGGTCAATAAAAAACCAGTATATATAAATCTTAACTTTAAAGGTGATGACGTCGCACAAATTATCAACAAGAGACTGAATACAGCGCTAGCCAGAACTTATCCGGCTGCTAAACTTTTAATTCTCTATAAAACAACATGTTCAATAACCCAATCAAAGATCGACAAGCAACCCCTTCATGTTACCGCCAACTGTATTTATAAATTTACGTGTACCTGCCAAAGCAGCTACATCGGCCGAACTGAAAGGAGAGCATATCTTAGATTCTTTGAACATGTTCCAAAAAGTCTTACGACAAGGGAAAGAAAGACTCTGAACAGTGCGATCACCAAACATCTCCTTGATACAGGACATCAGGTAGATACCTTACAATCCTTTAGGGTGATTAGTAAGCAGCCAAACTCCAGTCTTCTGAAGTTTGCTGAAGCCATTGCCATCAGGCGACAAAAACCTGACCTATGTATTCAAAAGGAGACGGTGGTTAATCTTTCCTTACCCTGGTGACAAATATTCCTTCACTGAACCTTAAAATTTTTTTTTAATTTTTTTCCCCTTTTTTCTGTTGCATTTATTACATCATTGATTCCAATTTATTTTTTCAACTATCTTTCAAATTAATAATCTTCCAACTGAACTCTAATCACTATATTCCTATCAATGTTTATTCATTATGTAATCAATTGTTTCTAACTCATTTTTGAACTGTTGTCACAATTAATGTTGTAGAATATTCTTTCACATTAGGTATATATTTACAATATTCTGTAAGCAATTTAAATCCATTATGCAATTATGATTTTTAAATATCACAGGTTGTAAGCAGCTGACGAGAACCTACGAAATAAAATGAATTCATGCTATTCTGCTAGAATCTTTGTTCTTGCTCTTTTCAAAATGATAAAGGGAACTATGTGTATGAAAGACAATAGTTGTTCCCTAGTTTCTGTGTTTCAATGATTATTCAGCTAACACCACTATAGGATAAAGATTACGTTAGAGTTTACATCACGGACCGACGTTAGTTAGGCAATTGTTGGAAACCATGAAACACTGGACAACTATTTCATCTTAATATGGGACTCAGGATTTCACATTTACAGCCCAACCAGCGATCAAACACAGGACTTCCAAAAGCTTGACCTCTTAACCACTGAGGGAGCACCTAATGGTTAATATGTCTAACGTCTTACACAATATCATTGCAAGACTGAAGGTTATGTGTTCGATCCCAGTCGAAGTTGTAGAAGCTCACTCATGAGGCGCCTAATATTGAGATAAAACAACTGTTCAGTGCTTTCTAGTTTTTACTGATTATATAACTAACATCTATCTGTAATGTAAACTATAACATTTGATAACTTCCACAAACCTCTATGCTAACTACTTTAAAATTGTCAAAACGTTATCATGTTCATTAATGATCAGAACTTCCTATATTAGAATTGATCATGATATATAATATGGAGATTTGTTGGATTATTCACAACCAAGAAAGTGATTTATACAATCTATATGGTTCTATGATAAAACCACTGAATTTTCTAGAAAATCTTTTAAAAGAAAAGTTTCTAATTTATCCAAACCTTACTTTATCTAAATAAATATTTTTTTCTTATTTGATAATCAACGCTGTTAATTTCATTGTTTAGTCAATTCATCATTTACATTTCTTATTCACCTAAAGTACTCGGGTCATTAATGTTTTCGATAGAAAATATATAATAGAAAAAGGAATTAACATATTCTAAGTTAAAAATAAATCTGCATAAATTTATTTTTCTGATATTTGATATCCAATACATTTTCTAAGTTATAAAGTACACCTTAAAAGAATCAATATTTATGTAAGTCTAGTGTCCTATTAATAATCTATCTGTCTGATGATAATAATACACAATGTATTCTAATATATGTGCATGTTTTTCTTCATTGTTCTATGCTAACTTCTGTATTAGTTATTCAATGTTAACAAAGAACATTGAATTTTATTAAAATCCTAAACTGATTTTTGTTTTAAACAATCAATAAACATGTATCTTTTAAGGTGTAGAAGAAATGGTTAACCAATAGATTTTTACTTTATGGTAAGCAACTATGTTGTCTTTGTTTTAAAAATTGTACAAAGTAAGAATAATAATTATTATAAGACGATGGTATAAATTACTCCCAAATTCATATGATTTAAGTCTTTCACATGTTATATAATTCAGTTTATGAATGAAATGTACAAATATAATTTTCACAGGTTGAAACCATGAGTCAATTGAAGCTAGACCACCATGGGAAACCTGGAAGCACTGGACGGCCGTTTCGTCCTAGTATGGGACTCCTCAGCAGTGTGCATCCACGATCCCGCCTCACGAGGTTCGAAATTCTAGCTTCAATTGACTCATGATTTCAACCTGTGAAATTTCTAAAAAATCTCCATAAAACCCATTCTGAAAATATAATTTTGTATGAAATATACACAAGGATAATTCAGTTTACTGTGATGATGTAAGAAATGGATAACTGTGAAAGATTGTGATGCCATCAAATGATTCTAAAGTTATCACTGTTATTGATGTAATAATTATCTACAAAACATTTGTCAAAAAGAGAGACCAACCAAGAAAATTTAAAACATGAACAGTAGTCACTTTGTATATTCTTAATGAGTGATGTATCAAACAGTTGATTTATGGAGCTTTGTAGCGAACATACAGATTTGATAAGAACACTCGAGCGTTTCAATACAGTTCACCCGCCCATAAAATTGACATGTGAGAAGAAAAATGAGGGTAGAATAGCCTTTCTAGATGTTCTACTTACAAGAAGAAAAGAAGGGTCACTAAGAAGAAACATAAATAAGAAAACCACTTGAACGGGCCAATATACAAACTTTCTTAGTTTCGTTCCTCTGCAATACAAAAGGAACCTTATTAAGACACTGCATCATAGAATCAAGACTATATGCTCTCTAGATACGGTCGAAGATGAAACAAGGACATTATACACGACCCTGAAAGAAAATGGATATCCTGAGAAATTTATAAATAAAAACATAGCCAATAAAAGAGAACATAGAGAACGCCTAACTGTAAATAAAAAGCCTATGTATATACGCTTACAATTTAGAGGAGATGCGCCTAGTGAGATGCTAAGATTGAAGTTAAGTAGATCAATCCAAAGAACCTTCAATGCAGGTAAACTACAATTAATGTTTTCGACACGTCTAAAGATCACTCCGAGGTTGAAAGATAAATTGCCTAGACTAGCCACCTCTTTCTGTATCTATCAATTCAACTGCTCCCGTGGAGCAAGTTATATTGGGAGATATTCTAGGAATTTATATATTCGGACTCCTGAGCACCCCCAAGTGTGGTTAAGCAAAGGCGTAGTTAAAAGGGTTAACAGCTCCATTTTAGACCATTTAATCCAGACGGGATATACAGCCAACATGTAGCAATCTTTCGCAATAATATATCGTGTTAACAGGAGTCTACCTAATTCCGTCAGACTGAGCATCCTGCAGACGGCTGAAGCAATTGCTACTTGGATGAAAAAGCCAGAGCTTTGCATCCAAAAGAAATATGTTCAGCCACTTCTTTCATAATATGGTGACGTGATTTGATTAATGTTCATTTTTATGTCCCAAACTTATTATTATTATTATTATTATTATTATTATTATTATTATTATTATTATTATTACACTTGATAACCTTTTTGAGGAATTTATTCAGCATCCACCCCTATCTACTATATCTGACCTAATTCACATTATTCCAACCTCTGATTTTATTTCATTATTCTCTCTCTCTCTCTCTCACCCCATGTTGACCATATTTATTCTGATCATTTATCTCACAATTTCATTTCGCTTATAAAATGACTGAAGTTAACACTTTATATTAGTCAGCCCCAACAATAACAATTTGATTTGATTTGATATAACAAACAACAATTCTTGATTCACATATTTCAATTTCCAAATGATGTACTCTGCCTTAAATCTGACCAATTTTATGGATTATTAATTTGGATTTATAATTGTAGAACCTGATGAGAAATTATTGAAAAGAATATTCTTCGTTCAGATACTTTCTTTTTTAATTGTTAGCGATTATCATATTTTATGTTACGACAGCCACCGAAAGCTAGAAGGCATCGGACGACTGCTCCGTCTTACCATGGGACTCCTCATCAGTACGAACGGACGAAACTTGAGTATCCTGACTTCTTTGCCTCAGCAGGGCCGTCATTGTACACTAAGGACAAAACAGCTATACAGTCAGTCCTTCCTGGTTTTCGATAGTTGCATAATTAAGATCGATTTGTGATTTAGGCTTTTTTAACTCGTCAATTATTGTCATATCTTGTAACAGCTAAAACAAAAGTCACTTATAACAACAAACGGGTTACTTGTTTTAGCAGAAAAAATATCTTAGTTACGTACCTACTAGTGATTTACCCAATTTTTTTCTATCACAGTCCAATATTTAACTAATCAAATCAGATGAATTATGAGTCTAAAAGAGATACTTGTGCCCCTTTATCTAGAAGTGCTTTTTGTTTTTCTTCAGATGTTTTTGGTATAGTGGACAGTTTTATGACCCATCGATCATGTGAGGAACTTCAGTACCAGGTTTTAATGGCTTTTTTGTCAGTTTTGTACAATACATTATATATTTGCTGAGTCATTAAAGAGTCTCTGTCATAGAACAAAATATCTAACCATTAATGAAAATATAATTTTTTTACATTTTTAGGTTAAGATAAGAGAATAATACCGAAAACTAGTCATTCCATCCACTGCATAATAAAATTATTTTTATATGTTCAGTGAAATTACATTTTTACTTCAAATTTTCGTTAAATTCAATAACTTCATTACTTATCGATTTATGTACTGATAGGGTTGTCACGAAGTACTCGTGGAGGCATGCAGATCTAATTTATCTGTAATATGTGGAATCGGGATTAGTTTCGCTTTGATTCTTGTAAGTTGATTTTTCATTTAACCATTTTATTATCTTATTGATAAATTTATGTTATAATTTGTATTTAATCGCCCAATTCATATTGAAGCGTGCTGCTGTGATTTAATTGAACACCATGTTGGTGATTTTAATCACATACTGTGATTTTGGGAATTACTTTTCTTCTGAAACTTGTATTTACTAGTTTCGATCTAGTAAGTAACTCTTGTATATATCGATAAAAAAATTAGAGGTTTAACCAACTAAGCAGCCAAAATTGTCCAGAATATTTAATTTGTTTTTTCAAAGGAAGATTAACAACAACTAAGTGGAAAATAACACTAAATTGACTTAGAAGGATTTTTGATCTTTTCAGATTCAAATACATGAATAAAACTAATCACAATCATACCGACAGTTACATATAGAATATGGAACAATTGTGGTATAGATCTCATGCATATTTAAACATAGCAACAGACTTTCGTGCATAACTTAGTTCTAATCTGTCTAAAGATACGTTCTCCAAGTACCTTTGTAGAGGTGGTAATGGCTTAGCTTCGTTAATCAGTCACATTAATAACCGTTATTATATAGATCCCAACGCTGTTTGAATTCATAAGGCAATAAGAAGCGGCGAATACAGTTTATTAGCAGATAACACAGATAACAAAGTTACAAGCAACATCGAGCGAATTGGAGCAAAGAGGTAATATGTGTGAGTGAGCGAATACAGAGGCAAATTTATAGTCAAATCGAATCAAGGCACAGCGAGGCAAGGCAAAGGCCATTAATAGGATTCGAGAACATATATACATGGGAAAGAGAATGACTCATCGTGCAATATTTAAACGATCAACATTTTAAACTAGAGAGAGATATGTGGATACGCTGTCACATATGATCAAGTGTATACGTTTATGCAGGCAAGATAGTGATCATAATTACAAAGAAATAGACGCATTGTCACTGTTCGAATAACATTATTTAATAAGTTAATGAAAGGGCTTGACAAAATTTAACCGGTAGAACCTGACAATATACCAGCTGAAGTATTGAAGACAGACAGAACTAACTGAAAGTATGCTTCACTTTCTCTTCAGGAAGATTTGGGAGAAGGGACAAGTGCTGACAGACTGGAAAGAAGGATACCTCATCCAGATATAAAGAAAGGAAATCTGAACAAGTGTTAGACCTAAAAGTCGTTACACTACTATAGGTACCAGGAGAGGTTTTTAACAGTGTTCCTGAACCGGATGAAATACTGAGTAGACACCCAACTTAGAGATCAACAGACCAGATTCCATAAGGATTGGTCATGCATAGACCAAATCGCGACACTACGGATCATTGTTGAACGACCAATTGAATGGAACTCGTCACTATACATCAACTTCCTTGATTATGAGAAAGCATTTAACGCTATGGATAGGAGAACATTATGGAACCTTCTACGACACTATGGAGTGAGTAGCTGAGAAGGTCGTCAAGATCATCCGGAATTCATACGAGGAACCACAGTGCGAAATGGTGCATAAAAGACTGTTGACAGACTCATTCCAAGCAAGGGTTGGAGTCAGGTAAGGCTGTTTACTCTTTTCCTTTCTCTTCCTTCTGGTGGTTGACTGGATTATGAAGACCTTCAAATCTCAGGGGGAAGCATGGAATATAATGGACAGCTTTGATGAAACTAGACGACCTGGACTTGGCTGTTGACCTAGGTCTTCTATATCATACATAGCATCAAATACAGATGAAGACAGCCAGTATAGTAAAAGCATCTACAGCAGTAGGTCTCAACATACGCGAGGAAAAACCAAGACTCAAATACAACACAGGTGGCATCAACCAAATCACACTTGGTGGAGAAGCTCTGGAAAAGGTGTAAACTTCCACGTACCTGGACAGCATCATCAATGAACTAGGAGTACCTAATGCAGATATGGAACTCAAAACAACTGTCAACCAATATGAAAGTGAGAATCTTCAATACGAACATAAAGACAGTTCTACTATACGAAGCTGAAACGTGGAGAAATACCATATCCATCACCAAAAACGTACATTTATAGACAATTGTCTACGTAAGTTACTGAAGTTTCGTTAAGCGGATACCATCAGCAACAGCCTACTGTGGGAGAAAACAAGCTTTCAGCTGAAGGGGGAATCAGGAAAAGACGTTGGAAGTAGATAGGACATATATTACGGAAATCATCAAATTGAATCACGATGTAATCGCTAACTTGGAATCCTGAAGCGAAACCGAAAAGGAGAAGACCAAGCGACATATTGCATCGGTAATTGGAATCAGACATCAAAAGAATGAATAGCAAATGAAAAAGATTATCTGCGGTAGAGTTCGATGGAGAACGCTGGTGGGCAGCCTATGCTCCTCCACGAACTGCAACAGGTATAAGTAAATCTATTTAGTTTAAAGGATAATGAGTTTAGGTATACTTTTTAACTAATATTAGCTCATGTCTTTTTCCTCTCTTTTAAAACCAAATTATAGATATCTGGGATGGTGTTCTCTATGATGTTGTGTTGTGCTATTCGTGAACTCAGTTGAGCCATCATCATAAGATGGAAAGTCGAAGAGACAAGTGACAGCTTTGTTATGATCACTAGATGTATGTTAATTTAACTATATACAGATTTATATTCACCAGATCATAGCTATTACTATCAATATGGATGTTTTATTGCTGTTTTTCAAGGTAAAAAAAAACAAGATACTGACAAAAGAATTAGGTTCATTACCTTCAAACTATTCATTTAGATTTTTTTATTTGTATCTTATTGCTTTTATCATTGTCCTATAAAAAGAGCTTTAGCTATATTTATCTGTTTATCGAACGTGATGTCTGTTAATCAATTGCAATGCTATGTCTATTTATATATCCACCATATATCTATGTTTATTTATCTGTTTCTATCTATTCATCAACCCTGAATAATTATTGCATTTTAATTTATATTTTCGGTTGGAATGTGCATTCTTTTGTGATTGAATATTATAGTACTTCTTATCATATACCAAATGTATATTAACAGGTTCAATAACATTTCTGTGAATCAATTCTAAGTAAATCGTGTTTGATGCTGGGAACTTCATGTAAACGAAAATTCAGCTGTTAGTATGTCATTAATTATTATATGACTGTGAAATAAGATATTTTAGAACATTCTTAGACTTTTTTACTTAAGCAGGATTTAATCATACTATGCTGTTCAATGAATCACTGTCTAGAAAGTGAAGTTAACGAAAACTGAAAAAATAGTGATATGAATATTTCATCTAATAAGTAACACTATAAAATAAGTTATGAAGCATGGGATTTAAACCAAACACCCTCTAATAGCACCATTCAGTGTAAATATTGAAACGTAAGAAGGTTCTCCTTGTTCTTGTTCGAAATATATTCGATACGTTAAAGAACCGTTTTATTTTTCATTTACTAAAAGTGAGCTCTAGGTCAATATTTTATTGAGATATTGAATGATGAATTCGCACTATATGTTCTGCTGATATAGTCGAACAAGAGCTTACCACCTTGCATAATACTCTCAGGGAGAACGGCTACCCTAGAAAGTTTATAATTAAATATATGGTCACGAAGGCGAAAGTAGGCGAAATACAAACAGTGAAGAAGAAATCCTTGTTCATGCGTCTACAATTCAGAGGGGATGCGGCTAGCGAAATACTAACTCAGAGACTACGTAGGACAATACAAAAGTCTTTTAACACCGGAGAACTGCGATTAGTATTTTCTACGCGCCCAATGGTTACACTGAAGCTAAAAGATGAATTACCTAGAATGACCACCTCATTTTGTATTTATCAGTTCAACTGCTCCTATGGAGCGAGTTATATTGGTCGAAGTTCTGGGAATTTACATTTTCGTGCTCGTGAACACCTTCCGGCGTGGTTAAACAAAGGTTTGATGAAGAAGGTGAACAGCTCAATATTGGCCCATTTAGTACAAACCGGTCATAGTGCCAGTATAAACCAATCTTTTTCTATTATTTATAAGGTCAGTAATTTTTTGCCAAAACTGGTCAGACTGAAAGTCCTTCAAACGGCTGAGGCAGTAGCCATCCGAATGAAGAAACCGGAGCTATGCGTACAGAAGAAATATATTCAGCCACTCCTCCTCCCCTGGCCAACATCAAGGCCAATTAATCAATCGTAATCTTAACTATTGAATGACCCAATTTGACTATGACCTTTCTTAGTCAATTGTAATTGTCCCTGTTATCTTTATTCATAAATCTTTGTATTATTATTATTATTATTATTATTATTATTATTATTATTATTATTATTATTATTATTATTATTATTATTATTATTACTATTATTCGTACTATTGGTTAAATATCGTTAATCTCCCCTTTACATGATTCATTCACTTCACATTCATTCCTCCGTATTACGTCTTACTTAATTGATCGAATTGTAATTGCACTATTATTTCTCTCTCACCCTATTTGACCCATATTTATTCTGATCATGGATCTTAAAATTTCATTTAACATATACGCAGATTCAAGTTAACATTCTATATGAGTCATATTAACATTAACAATTTTATTGTATTTTGTTTATCACAATCCTAAATTCACATGCTCTAAACGATGTACTTTACCCTTAACTTGGCCATTTTTCGGATTAATAATTTGGATATATAACTGTAGAACCTGAAGAGAATTTATCGAAAAGAATATTCTTCGTTCAAATATTAGTCTTTTAATTCCTTGAGAGTTGGAGAAGAAGTTACTAGTTTATACTAGCAAATATTGCTGAAATGTAATGAAGTCTGGAGCCTGATGAAAAACCTGGGTATCTACTCGAATAAGAGCAAATTAACTGACCTATATGAATTAATTTCGTCAGTCATGACTACTTCATCTACAAGGTATGCTATAAAATATAAAATTTATCTCACAATTACTCAACTAGTTCTTACGTTCCAGAGATCTACCTATGCATTTAAATAACCGAACTGTGTCATAAGAACACAGTTAAGATTATAATTTATTAGTAAATACTTGTAATAAAATTGACGCCGCTCCGTTGAACTTACATATTGGAAAGTCTGTTTTGTCTTTAGGCCACATTTTCGGTTTTTTACATTTCAACTTTTACTACTTGTTAGTAGCATATAATGGGCACAACAAGTTTTTAGGCATGAATTGTTCACGTGTGAACACTTGGAAATCTGTTTGTAAAGATAAAACATTTAATCATTAATTGTAAGTGGAACCAATAAAGTACTGTTCATTTAATTTTAATTTTGTATACTAACCTTTGTTATCCTTGTCTCCAATATTTTTTTTCTGAGTGAATTTCTATATCTTGATAAATGTCTATGCATGCTGATTGAATAGTATCTTATTAGGAGGATTGACAACTTCTAAGATGATAGATAATATTTAAAGCTTAGGATAAGACTTTTTAGAGTGTATTGTCCTCTTATCTGGACAGTTTTGGAATACAGAATAGAACACCTTCAAAATTGATAGTTCCAAATTGTACGAAGATCTTTGAGAAAATGACAAAATCAAGCCGTGACCAGTGGAGCTAATCCGTGTCAGGAAGAGACAGGTATCTGCCTCAGACAATGGAAGATGGTCTCTCGATTTCGTGGATTGGTTGAAGTTAGATATCAACACTGGTGGATCTCGGCTCAGTGGTTTAGAGGTTAAACGTTTGCGTGTGGGAACGAAGATCCTGGGTCAGAGTCCCGTGCGCAGTATCGTGAATGTGCACTACTGAGGAGTCCCATACTAGGACGAAACTGCCGTCCAGTACTTCGAAGTTTTCAGTGGTGATCCAGCACTCATCGATTCATGATCTCAATCAAAATCATAACAATCTCCACAACCCGACACTGATAAATCGATTACGTTTATTTGGTGAGCAGTGACTTCTATAAGTTTTAATTATAAATCATAATCTATGGACCCAACTCGATCTGAGGGAAACTTATTTAGAATATATGTTCATGGGATCTAGGAGAAAAATAATTTTTTATGTATTATCGATAAGAGAATATGGCAGATCAAAAATGTAAATACTAAAAATAGTAGCAAAGTTATTGAATAATATTGCATGTAATTGATCAATGATAAATAAATGTGAAGAATAAAATTACGAAAAAAATGGTATTTTACAATTCAAACATTATCATCACTACTTCATGGCAGTTACTTTCTTGATTATCAAATATTCAGATCGAAGAATAGGAATGGAAAGTAGTATCTAATTGATTCAATATCTAGTAAGATTATTACAAACTCGTTGGAAATGATAAATTCCAAGTTTAAACTGACTAATTGTTCATTTTATCCACTGACTATAATAGGACGCTTTTTATAGAGGAAAAGATTAAGGCTTATGACAAAGCTAAAAACTGGAAAACTACAAACAGAACAGCTGCGACCATCAGCAAAATATTTCATTCTTCTCTGCACTTTGGATAAACTAGAGTGATCTCTCTGAATTTAGTGGATCCAGTATATTACGCAACTGAACAAAATGTCATCAATAAGAAATTTGTTTTAATATTGCGAATTTCATACCGATAATTCTTCATCACTAAGCACACACTGATATTCAAACTTACTAACAGATTCATTGAAAATAAGTACAGTTTCAGAGTCCCAATCCACCATAAAGTTGGTTGAGTTACGTAGATGGCAGCTCTATGATCATAAAACAAGATCAATTAAGTAAACACTATTTTACGAACTTCTACATCATATCTGATAGCATCAAGTTTAATGGAAAGATTGAATCCACTGACCACAAACAGCTTTTTGTGACTGTTTTGTTGTAAAAAAATACTGATTGTTTAACAGTTAATATATTTCAAAACCAAACACTCAGCCTGTGCCCTGTCTGTAAAGATGATGGTTGCTATGAATTTAGTAAACAGAGTTTAGGAACTATTCACAAAACCGAACGATAAAGAAACTGAATTGAATATAGTTATGTCTACTTCGTTGTTGGATAATTATCCTAGGACCTTTATAAGAAGAATAATTAAGAAAAAAGATCAGAAATAGAAGAGAAAAGAAAAACCAAAAGAATAGGTGAAAACAATGATAATCCTATATCGCAAATGAACTTCAGAAGAAATCAGAAGGTAATTATGGCCATGGTTATTATGATTACTGACCCTTAATGACGAAAATTTATGGGTATGTTTGGAAACATTTAATAATACGTGATTAGTTAACTTGTATGTATGCTCATGTGTTTAGGAACGAACATTTTCTTACCTGTAATAATTTGTTAGTTGGCTGTAAATTGTGCCATGTTGTAAACTGATTAGTGAAAATCAATGCAACATAAAATGTTTCGATTGAACGTCAAACTTTTCATTTTTACATTTGAATTTTAATTTAAGAAAAAAATGCTCTCAAACGGTTCCATTATAGTGTAACATAAAACTGTAACCTAAGAAAAGCCACATCAATTCTATTCGAGCGCCATATGATAGCACTAGCTGTTAATAGACATCGAGATAAAAGTGATATTAATTTCCTTCTTGTTCATTTAGA